ACACACACACACACACACACACACACACAAAAAGGCCCCCTCCCAAGCCACTACGATTTTGGGATGCACCTGGTAGCATGACATTTATTAGGAATAAAGACTTCTTAGTTCTGGTGAATTTGTGTGTACTGGRRTCATWATGTTACCTCTATGCGGTATCTAGTTCTTCTCTTTCCTTCATGGATTCAGTGTTTATATGAATAGAAACTTGTTTTCTTTAGTAATGAAATTCTTACTTTGCTTGTCATTCATTGTGTGGAGTGGAGTCTTGCAGGAGGCTTGTGGACTTGTTACTTGAATTTTGGACTTGTTAAACATTTGTCTGACATATTTTCAAAGTAGTGAGCTATCACAGGAAACGCAAACCTGTCTGGAACCTTCTTTAAATTAGTTGTGCTAGTCTCTATTGTCTCAAAGCAGTAAATTGACACATGAACTGGAGCTTTCTTCTGATATAGAATGTCTTTGTCTAAAACCTGTTAATGAGTTATTATAATTAAACTGGTCCTGGTGCCTATCTTAATTTCTAAAGTGTACTTCAGCTAAAGTAAATAGGAGTATGGCTGCCAAGTTGAATACAAAGCAGTTAGATGAGCAAAAAAAGTATAGAAGACTTGAACCTTGGTTCTGAAAGCTGTGCTCACAAAAATATTCATGATTTTTTAAAAAAGAAATTGCTAAGCAATACATGGCTGCATGATTCACTGGTTGCTGGGTCACAAATGCTCAATTCAGTGATAGTTTGTCATTTTTTCTCAGTTTGTCACTACCACTCTCCTGTAGTTACGGTGAAATTAATCTTGGAACTGATCCTTGTTGACAATACTGCAGTCTCATCACTGACATTTTTATAAGCTCTAACAGTGTTTGAGGTGCACTTTCAGTCTGTTTTTATTGATTGGCTGATCACTGCAGTTGAAGAAAAGCTGTAAAATTGGCTTTATAATTAAAAGCTGATTTCTTATCAGAAATGCATTTGGAGAAACCTTAGAATGGTCATGTTTTTAAAATTGAATGGAATCAAACAGCTTTTGTATTGCAAGCAAGTTCTGTGAATGTGTTGGATTCAGCTAATTCTTTTKTCACTCACCTCTGCTTTTAGACTTGGATTTCCATTTCTACATTATAACCAGGATGTTGTAAAAAGGTAAAGAAAATGCTTTATTAAAAAAATCTGCTCCTTTCTTTGGTTTCCTTCATGAAATGTTCATAAACTACATTGTGTGTCTGAGTAACGTTCTCTTTAGAATACATTTGTTTTTTTTTTTACTGTTTTTCCTATTTGAGATGTGTRTATTTTCACAGAAGCATTAATCTTCTGTTTAACAGTGGGTGTTACCTGACAGTGATGTAAATGGTTTGGCCTTAATTGTTAGGACTGTGGTTTCACCTGAAACACTGCAGAATGTGTTTCATAACAACCAGAATGACTCATTTTATTCAAGCAAATCCCAACTATCCTACAGTATAAGGGATTTGTTTTAACCTTTCAGATTTTTTTTCTTGAATGTGAACAGTTTCTTTTTTTGACAAAGTCAAGTAAGTAAAAAAAATCAAGTTTGTTTATRTAAAATGACCACATGCTTAACTTCAGATTTGTACTCTTTGCCACAAATGTAACCAACTGTTTGATTTATTTCTAATATCTACTTTTCTTGAATAGATTWTTTTATTTTTCTGTTACAAATAACTAGATTGCTTTAACCAAAAGCATTCACAGCTTGTCACCACAATGATCTGTGTGAACAAAATTCATCCATAAAAACTTTTTTTTTTAAATTTCAGATTCCATGAGTGCCCCAAACCGAAGTTCAGCAAATTCCTCCGTGGTGTGGCCTTCATCTACCCCTACATGTTTGACAACATTCCTCTGTTCTACAGGGTAGGATCATTTCTCACCTCACACCTCCCTTTCGTGGGCGAGTCGCCGCTCCTCTGGTGCTTTTAGAAACTTTGTGTTGCTTTCACAGTGAGCTGTGCAAATAATGATCAACATGGCCTCAAAGTTCTCAGATTGAAATATTTTCTTTTGAGACTTTCACTGGTTTTAGAGATTTGAAATGCATTTTTTGCAATACAAGATGTCATTTTTTAAAGACCTGTTGCACATAAAACTCATCATTCCTGTTTAAATTGAACATTAAGTAAATGTAATGAAATTACAAAATGCAAATGGTCTGTCAGCTAAGTATCAACCAAAGCTTCAGTGTTGAAATTAGCAAATATGAAACAAATGTTTTGAATTTGAACATTTTTATTATTTTGCTCCTATATTTAATTCCCATGAGATGTGATTTAAATTTATTAAACCAGGAGAATTTTTATATGGTTTTCTTGACATATCGTTTTTGCCATCCTCCACATAAATCCCATTGAGATTACAGATCTCTTGTTGGGGAGGACTGGGTCTAAAGGCAACTTGTATAACTGTTAGAAATAAAAATAATAATAAACAGAAACTGTTATGGCACATTGTTTGTTCCCAGGTTTTCCTGTGTGTAGGGGAGGGCTGTACAGACAATGAAACAACTGTCCTGCACTACCAGCACATCAGCTTGGCTTTCCTCACAGGGTTTCTGTTTGTTTCACATCTCCCTGAGCGCCTAGCACCTGGTAGCTTCGACTTCATAGGTATGACTGATTCAATCAATGCTTATTGTCTCAATTTTTACATTTGAACTTTATTAATCAGTATTTAGTAAATATTTTGAGCAGAAAAAGKTTTTTTGCTATTCAGCAGGAACGGTTGGTCACGTTTCATCTCAGGTTGACTCATCACCACAGACTGTGTGTGTGTGCTCAGATCAACCTGTTGGCCAATATTATTTTTTTATTTTTTTTAAAAGGGGGAAAAAACTGAGTCATGATAATGGTGAATGAATTTGTACTGTAAATAGCGGTGGTGTAATACTTCTCAACCAATGTACACGTTGCCAAATTAACCATTCAATGCAATAAGTAAATTAATAAATAAACACAGCATTTTATCTTGTAGTACATTTTCATTTGCCTTTAAATCTGGGAGAGATATTGATGCCCTGAACYTGAAATCCAACTGCAGGACTGAAAATGTGAGAATATAACAACTGCTCCCTCTGCAGGTCACAGCCATCAGCTGTTCCACGTCTGCGCCATCGTCTGCACCCACCTCCAGATGCAGGCTGTAGAGCAGGACATGGTGACACGGCGACCCTGGCTCTCCGTTAACTCCACCCCCGTCACGTTTGCCGGCTCACTGGGGTCGACGCTGCTTTGCGTGGCGATGAATTTGCTCATCATCCTCATCTTCAGTTTACCTCTCCTTTCTGCCTCGGTGTGTCAAGACGGAAAACATGGCAACGAACCTAAGGCCTCAAATAAATCTTGCCACTGTTCTTAACGYTCTCACACCAGTTACAGGAAGAAATGCAACATGGGTAAAAAAAAAAACTGCTACTACAAACACATCTCAGCATTCACACTTTACATGAAGGCTGCTGTAAAAGTTTTTGGAAGCTGAACTTTAGAGCATGTGTTTCCCAAATGACAGAAGTGCAATTACAATTTTATTAGCAATTTTTTTTAAAACTACAAATGTTTCTGCGGAAACTTTGACTTGTTTGAAGATGTAGCAGGTGTGCTGCATTCTCAGATGGTGCTCTGTATGTGTAGATATTTTTACTATAGTCTCCGATAGCCATATGTGGTGTATGAAGAGAGTCCAGGGAACAAAAGATATCTTAAGTTGCAAAAATCAACTTTTTAAAACTTGAACTTTTACCTCTGTACCTTTTTTTAAACACTTGTACTCAGCCTTTTGGAATGCACTGTATTGTTTTGATAAGAGAGGTTGACAATTTTGTTTTAGTTACGAGTGAAGCTGCTTTATAAACTGAATATTTGGTTACCGATAGTCTGGAAACTTTTCTTTCTTTGTTTTTTTTATTTTTAATCCCAGCTATTGTTTTCCAAATTATTTTTTGCTAAAGGTGTTGTCTGTCCCATTTAAAGATTGTTACATTGGTCCTTTTTAATGCTGAATGTGTAAAGAAAAAGTATTCAAGTGCAATATTTTATTTATTGTAAATTTTCCAAATAAACTAAACTAAACCTGTACTTTTTCCATTGTACTTTTTTAATTCACTGATTCAGTTACTTTAGAAATTATAAACAATACGAAGAATTAAATGGTGACCTGTATTTTTGTGCAAAAGTTTCAATACTTTGAGCGTGACACAGATCTAACAGAAATTAAACAGTTCACCTGATTTACCATTTGATTACATACATCTTCACTTAAAACTGAGTTTATTTGCTTTTAGTGATAAATTTTTGTGGTTTATTCAGAAGCCGTAAAGGGTGAACATGTCTAATTTCAGACATTTTTTAGCCGTGCCTTTTACAGTGTATTTTAAGCAAATTAAGTGCACAAGTTSAAGTTTGTCAATTTTCTGTTTTCAAAATAATGCAAGCTCAAAATATGGTATAAACAGTCACATAGCTATTATAGAGTAAGTGGTGCTGGAGTTTTTAAACTGCCAAGGCCTGTTAACATCCTGTTAGTGATCCTGACTGAAACTTCTGTTTAACACTCACTGGACTGACATTTGAACAACGGGACAGTTAACTGTAGATGTAGAAAGTTATTACAACTTGAGATATAGAGTTCATCGGTGTGAACTATGTAAAGAAAAGTTATTCAAATAAGTCTTTGGGCCAAGGTGTGAGGGGAAAGATAATTAAACAGTTACAACCAGGCCAGGTGAAAGAAATATGTTTAGGATGTTCTGGAACAACCCAGAAACCAGCCTCAAGCCTGCCACAAACTGGAAACTACTAGAGCAATGTCCACKGTAAAACTGATCTTGAATACCAGAATTAGCTATGTATTTTGGGTGTGGTGCCTGATTGTATGAATGTTAAAAAGGTCAATTGGCTGGGGAGTGGCTRACCAAGAAATATACTCTGCTCCAAAAGCGACACCTTCAGGTCTGACTGAAATTTGCAGCTGCAGGGAATAAGCCATACTGTAGTCTCCTGCAGAAAATAGTTTTGGTCATACTAGACAAAGATGGATTGTTTTGCCACGATGACAAAAAATATGTTTATATGTGTCAAAGTGAGGCTAAAAACATCCAGGAGAAGAAAATGGTCAAACAGTACATTGGAAGAATTATACTTGCAGCTGCTATAAAAACATGYTTAGGGTTCAACTTTGGGATATTTAACCACATGGGTGATTGTATATGTTTATGCTTGTAATTTAACCTTGTATAGATTTATAGAAAATCCACAACAAACTCAAACTTGTGCAACCAATTCTTGTTTTAAAATACAAAGAATACTTCAAATTTGTCATAAAAGCCTGAAATTATTACGTTTATGCCCCTGAGTGTAAAACTTTGAATACTACTGAATTAGGGAATATTTGTTGCATGTTTTATATGTAAAACAACTAAATGTTCAAAATTTAACTTATATTTATGTAGTGAGACTATATGCATATTTTAACGTGGTTTAAAATATCATTTTATTTATTGTTTCCTAAAACAGTTTTTTTTTTTTAAATTAAATCCAATTTTATGTTTTTCATTTAGGTAAGGGTACGCTCATCCTCATCTCGGCAGTATAACGAAGACTTCCGGTTTGTGACACTGTATGCTTATTGTAATTGGTTAAAAATCACAGACTGTCAAAATAAAAGCATAACTTCCGGTTGTAGGTTGTGTGCGTGTTGTGATTGGTTAAAGAAGTAGAGTCACGGAAGACGTTTTACAAGAGGGAAATTTTCAAATCGAGGACAGAGGCGCCTCTGCGAGCAACTGAGACAAACTTCACAACAATGCAACGAGGAGGGTCAGTCTAGTGTTCTTTTATTTAACACATCAATACACCTAGTAAATTATGACAAATGTTACGCACGAAACCTCTGTTGAAAGTCGATTCTTTTCCGTGTTAAATAGATCGGACCCAGGACTGCCATCATTGTTCAGCCTAGCCTAGGACGTTAGCTTTTCGCTGAAACAAAAATAATAGCACTAGGCCAGCAGCKATTTGGTCAGCATGCACATAAAATCTCAGTGAGAATATTCATTAGAGAATATTCTGATTTAGGAAACATATTATTAGCTAAAATATAACGAAGCTGTTTATTAGACTAAAGGTGGCCATTATTTGATATTTTTGATTTCTTTTGTACAGTAGTACAGTTGAGCTAACCTGGCTAACATAACTTAGCAGTTATGACAGAAAACATGGAAGTGAACAAATTTCACATATTCAATCTTTACATAATAAAGTTTTTTCCCCTAAGTTAGAGCCTTGCCTGCAATTTAGTTTGATTAAATAATGCACACTAATTTTAACTCTTTTACTTTAATTTCGTTGTGTACATCAGGACGTCGTACTGCATCTCAGTACATTTAAACATGTTTCTTATGAAGCTGAGGTTTGACTGAGGCAGAAATGGTTTTATACAGAAACAGGATTAATAAGAAATCAGGAGCGGGTGAAGAAGGATCTGATACTAGATTTGGAASATGAAAGTTTAAAGGAATTTACATTGACTGATTGATTCATCGTCTCCTGTGTTGTATTTGAAATGTTTGCTAATATGTATCAACTCTTAATTGTAGTAAAACAAACTTAGGCCATTACATGAAACTTTTTTTTATTCTGAGATCAAATAAGTTTTTAATATCCTCGGACATTACGTTAAAACTTTGATCTGCACATCTTTGTAACTAAGGTATAATGTTTTTCCTTATTCTGAAAAGCGTTTTTCTGTCTCAACAATAGGGCATCTCAAATTTGTTGTTATCCCGATAACAGCCAGTACAATATACATATTGCAAAAAATGCATAAATTGCAATAAACGATTGGCTCTAATGTTTGCTTTTATGTGGTTTGTCAGCATCAGTCTAGATCAGGGGTGCCCAAACATTTTCCCTGAGAGGGCCAAAATTTAAAWCAATCTGAGGGCTGTGGGCCAAATGCAGTAATATAACACACGAAAATACTTTTTAAGTAAATTTGTTTTATTTTTATGAAGCTAGCAGCCAGTGAAGTTGCCTATATTTTGTTTTTTCAGCCCATGGACATGGAGAAAATTCAACATATGCTCAGGCAGCAAAGGCTCATGGGAGTTTTCATAATTTAAAATTTGAGTGTATGTGGACTTATATGTGTACTTAAATCTAATCTTCTAAATGTCTTTTTTAGTTACTTGTATTTTATGTTTAATCTTAAAATAATTCAAAGTTAAAGTGAGYACCATGAGTTAAGACTATCTGACTATCAGCTCCTTGTACCTATAGTTGGACCAATGGTTGAAAAGTGGACATATAATATTTCTACTTAAGACAGGAGATTACAGATTAATAAAGACAACTGCTGGTAGGCCAAATCAAATGGCTTGGYGTGCCAATTTTGGCCCGCAGGCCCCACTTTGGGCACCTCTGGTCTAGATGGACAAAATGGAGTAGAGAAACATCAAATCATAATCACTCCATCATGTTGTAATGGAAATTATGTATAAGTTGTTTTTTACTCTGAACCTAGAGCAGAAAAACATCAACTGTCTGTATACCTAGTATTTTTTGATTTATCCCAAGTCATATTGTCATCACAATATCAAGCACTGTWATTGCACGACGCAGGTTTTCTTGATATCGTGCAGACCTACTCAACAACACAAAGACGTATTTCTCTGATCATACAGCACGAACCCAGAAAGAACCACAGGTTTTTGTTAATGTAAAGAACTATGCAACTTGTTTAAATTTTCATTGCTCTGCTTTGTCGCAGTAAAGGGAAGACTCCTCGGAGGCCTGCCTTGAAGAAGGCCACCAATGTAGAGCGAGATCCTGTGGGCGTAAGCTGCTTTCATTATAAATATTTTCTTCATCTAGGAATTGTTCAGTAATAGCTGGTTTTGTCTGAAAAATAATTAAAATACAGTAAATGCTAAAAAGCACTTTTGTACTTGAATTTAGGTTTACTGTCGTATACGTCCAATTGGTGCTGATGATGAGGAATATTGTGTTGAAATGATAAGTAACACCACGATTCAGCTGCATGCTCCCGATGGACTAAAAGCCAATCGCAACGGTGAATATAAGGAGGTAGGTGAAAAGTAACTTGAACTTATTAGGCAAATTATTTAATACTCTGTTTGTTTATTTTTTAGAAACAGCAAATACAGTGAAAAAGAACTACAAACCACTCATGATCTGTACCACAGCTGATATTTTATCAAATGACCAGTGGTGGCCACMGTTCCTCTAAAGCACTAAAGCACTAATAGGGGAACTAATTTCCTGATTAGTGCTTTAGGGCTTTTGCTCATTTTAAAATGTATTTGTGGATTAGCACTTGCTAAATTTAGAAGCACTAACTGAGGTCTATAAATGTTATTGATCAATGTTAATGTTAACAGTTGAGGGTGAAAGCTGTCACACATTTTGTTCATGTGTGTGTCACTKATCCACCAGGTGACACAATATTGACAACATATGAACCCAAATACGGCTGAGGAATGTCAAGAATAAGTCTTAAGAGAGAAACATGATGATATGTTACTCATGTTGTCTGTTGAAGAATGTTCATGGGTTGACTGGGTTATTTTAGTGCTTTAGAGTTAGCTTTTACTAAAACTTTCAGTGTGTTAGTGCTTTAGAATTAGGGGACCTAAATATTTGAGTTAGTGCTTTAGAAYTAGGGGACCTAAATWTTTGAGTTAGTGCTTTAGAATTAGGGGACCTAAATATTTGAGTTAGTGTTTTAGGGCTAGTGGAACTAATCTTTAGATTAGTGCTGCCCAATGCTGCAAATTACGACGGAGTATTAGGACCATGCAACAAGATTTTTTTTAATTATTATTATGAGAATAATGTCATAATATAATGAGAATAAAGTCGTAATATTAGAAGATTAAAGTTGTAATTTTATGTAAATAGTCAATGTTACGAGATTAAAGTCGTAATTTTACGAGAATAAGAACAAAAGTCATAATCTTACATGACGTGTCCATTTTCCGTTCCTCATTTTCTCACACCTGCTGTGTACAGCCATATGTCTCTGTGTTTATGAAGTAGTCCGCGATGACTTGGGTCACTGTTAGATTAATATGCTTTCATCCAAATTAGCTATGTAACGACTAAATCCGTCAATGCATCCATTAATTACAATATGGCTTCAGTTTATAGTAGTTTGCACAATTTCCAAGTCCTGCTACTGATAATTTGATGTTAAATGTGCTAAAAGATTAACTATTTATTTATAGCAATACTAAAGAACAACTTGACAAGTTGCTCAACATTCCTCATTTTAATGCAGTGGTAACTGCTTGCTTTTTCGTGTAAAAGGTATAGTATTATGACTTTATTTTAGAATGCTATGACATTAATCTCTTAATATTACGACTTTATTCTCATAATATTATGACTTTAATCTTTTAATGTTACGACTTTATTCTCATAATATTATGACTTTAATCTCRTAATGTTACGACTTTATTCTCATAATATTATGACTTTAATCTTTTAATGCTACGACTTTATTCTCATAATATTGTGACATTATTTTCATACGACTTTAATGTCGTAATATTATGACTTTATCCTCGTATTTAAAATAAAAAATCTTGTGTGAGCCTAATTTTCCATCGTAGCAAATGACTGATGGATTTTAAAAAGGAAAAAATAAAATGTGCTTTTATTATAACTTCAATCTAGACAATTTGAGCAAGTACAATAATTCACTTCAATTCAAAAATACTTTATTTATCCCAAAGGGAAAATAAATAATCATTATTGATAATTATTATTAAAAATCATTGTTAATGTGAATTTTTTGTTAAATTCATCCATGCATATTGTTTATTTGTCTAGACTCAGTACTCCTTTAAAAGAGTATTTGGTATTAACACCAATCAAATGGAGCTGTTTGAGGATGTTGCCAAGCCACTGGTGAAGGACCTCATTCTCTGCAAAAATGGTGAGTTCAGTTTAATAAAAAAAACTAAAGTTTTTACTTTTGAATAACCAAACAAAGGATTTAGGTTAAGATTATGCAACTGTTCATCAGACCAACATCTCTGACCTTATTTAAAAATATATCCTCTCAGGTCTACTTTTAAATCAGATTATTAAACAAATCATAAATTTTTGACAGAATAGCTTTGTTCAAGCTAACTGAAAATATGTTAACTTTTTTTTTTTTCAGTTGCTAAGGTTTCTAATGTTTTCTTGCCAAAGAATCTAAACTTATAACAAGTGACTGCCTGATGTTCACAGGTCTGCTTTTTACATACGGTGTTACTGGAAGCGGTAAGACGTACACCATGACGGGCTCACCTGGGGAAGGTGGACTCCTCCCTCGTTGTTTAGACATGCTCTTCAACAGCATCGGGCCTTTCCAGGCCAAACGATTTGTAAGACCATTTCTTTCTTCAGTGGGCGATCTTTAAAAATAATGCTGAATATGACTTGGTAGATTTGAAAGGTTTGAAATCTCTTTTAGGTGTTTAAACCAGATGACAAAAATGGAATCGAGATCCAGAGCCAGGTAGATGCTCTCCTTGAGAGACAGAAACGAGACAATCTGCAGTCAGTGCCCAAAACACCATCTTCCAGGTAGTTATATTAGTTTATGTACTTTTTTAAATAGAAGATAACAAAGCTTAAAACATTTATTCACTTTTTTGTGTGTTTGTCTGTGTTTGTGTAGTAGGCAGAAGGCTGACCCAGAATTTGCAGACATGATCAAACCAGTGGAGGCGTGTAAATGTGAAAGTGTTGATGAAGATAGTTGTTACAGCGTTTTTGTGTCCTACATCGAGATCTACAACAACTACATCTATGATCTTCTAGAAGATGCTCCRTTTGACCCAATCAGACCAAAGTAAGGCACTGGAAAAACAATTCTGTGCAAACAAATTTTATTAACCTTGTTTGTGTCTGTTATTTATGTTGAAGTAAAGGCGCTGTCACACTAGACAACTTATGCCAACTTCTGAAGCATTTTATGTCTAAATTGCTAATAAAAGTTATATATTTGATCAATTTGTTCGAATGACATTATGTACACGCTGAAAAGAAGCTTCCTGTTGATTTTTTTTTTCAATTCTATCTTCTATGTAGATATCTTTTAAAATTTTCACAAGTTGGCATAAGTTGTCTGAAATGTCACAGTGTGACAGGGCCTTCAAAGGTTTTCCCCAATTCTGAAACTGTTGCTACAAATTGTATTAAGCTGTCCTATAAATGAACAGTACAAATGGTTTGGTAAAAGTTGTATAAAAGCCTTGTCAGACTACCGTTTTAGACAACTTATGCTGACTCGTTAAAATTTTGTTATACATAAATTACTCATGGACTGTGTCTCAATTCATGGTTTGCATAAACGGCTGTGAAATGAGACGGTCTGATCTACAGCAGGTGTATGTTTTGCATGACCACACTCTGCCTAGTTATCATGGTGATACGTTTTATGTCACATCGCTTCAGTTGTTTTTTCAAGGAATAACGTCTCAAAATTAAGTTTTAATAGAAAAACATTACAAG